CATACCCTGACCCAGATTTATTAACTCAACGGATTGACGATTGTAAGAAGATCAATCAACCTAATCACATTGTGTTGGCGCCACGAAGGGCGTACTCCAACATCAATGGACCTGAAGAATGTTCAAATAAAGGGTTATGATGAACTAAACTGAAATACGGAACCACGGTTTTTTTCCCTTGCCCTACAGGTGTAAGATATGATTTATTTTAATTTTAGGATATCATTTCCTATAAGGGCAAGCCCTTGTAGTTAATTACATCTATAGAGTCGTGACCCCTAAAGAAAACTGTTGATTAATGTAATGAGTCAAATTATCAAAGGTTACATTTTTCATAAAATATTAATAAATGCGATTTCTAGGTTATAAGATGTAAAACATACAACATATATAATTAACTTTCAATTCCAAATTTTGTATGATTACTTGTGAAAAAACATCAAGGATTAAATACATCAATTTTCCAACGAAGAAATTACCTAATTAAAGACCATATAATATATATGATGAGATTTGATTTTTTAAATGGTGAAATACAACATTTCGTGCATAGAAAAGGCGGTATATATGTAAAAATTAAAGCTTTGGTGTTAGATATGCAAATACATCGAAATTGAGTGGTAAGTATATAAATTTAAATCTTTAAAAAGGTAAACTATAGTATATTGATCTATCATATTCAATTTTGTATGCCATCTGAGCATCTTTCCTATACTCTTTGAAAATTCCTCAATAAGCATACATTGGAATTGGCAATGTCTCCTTTTAGTAATAAACTAGACTCATATCATTAATTTAATGTCATCAATTTTCATCACAAACAATACGAATATTAACTAACAATAAAAAAATTTATTAAATTAATGAGATTGACGGCTTCGATAAATTTTATCAAGATTAAAATTAGGTTGCTTTCCATAAAAAAAATCGACAACCAATATGTAAAATCATTTTTATGAAACATGTTTTACAAAACAATTTTAAATATATACTAAAAAAAGAACTTTTTCAAGGCAAAGTATCGCAGAAATACACAATATTTAAACCTCAATCATCCATAATAGTTTTTTTTCTATTTTTAACACACGACAATGATGTCTGACACACAACCAACAAATTTTCATCATCCAACACGAATTTCGAGGCATGACATGAATCTCGAGATTATATTTTGAACAACAAAACGTTCAAATCTTGATAAAAAGTCATCTAGAGCTCCGATTTCAGCAAACTTATAGTCAAACTGACCGCTCGATGAGACGAACCTAATGATATAAAAACTAGTCTAATCCTAGTCAAATCAAGCTCAGATCAAGTCATAAAACCACCTTTGAAAGATTTCCAAACACATTTGGAAAATCAAACGACTGTCAAAAATGACAAGTTTATACTCAAATTGAGCGGCTCGACAAGACGAATCCAACGAGCCCAAGATCACTCAATTCTGACATCATTAAGACACTCAAATGTCCATTAAAAGCCATATGATCGAGAGAAGCTCTCTGAACCATCCGATTAAAATGATTCATATTTCTGCATTAATTGCACCCAGAACATTACAAATAGAGTCTCATCCCTCTCATGAAGGGAAGAGAAGTCTAGAGAGAGTCTGAGGTCTTGAGAAGAAGCTGTAGACCACCGCCGACCTCAGACGACTACCACCGACCTCAGACGACCACCGCCGACCGTCATCGATCACCGTCGATCTCAGAGGACCACGCTGACCGTCATCGATCACCGTCGACCGTCGTCAACCTCCACCTACCGTCATCGATTACCACCAACTGGACGTCGTCAGTCGACGTTGTACCTTGAAAAACATAGTTATCATTTCATGTCTGTGAGACAAGGGATTTCTGTAATCATCAATCAATACTAGATTTCTGCAACTGGGCCAGGCCCCGTGGTTTTATCCCTATGGGTTTTCCACATAAAAACTTCTGGAGTCATCAACACTTTTTTTTATTTCATCTGTGTGTGCTGAACTTTCGTACGATGCTAAGACGTAATTTTTTACTCTACCGCCGCGAATTTTTTAGTACCCATCAGTTTGACGCCGTCTGTGGGAAACTTTCAATCCCACCACTGAAGTGCTTGCTCAATTTCCTACATGGCCAGCAGGCAAAATATTCGGGACAACGGAGTAGCTCGTTCTAACTCCCATCGTTCCAGGGAACAGTCACGAAGTCAAGGGCGACATGTTTCTTCATCTTCCCGCCCTGGAAGACGTTATCCAACCAACAAGGGGGTTTCGAGTCCTTCTATGGAAGAACGAATACGTAGAATGGAGGAATCTCAACTGGAGATCATACAATTCCTACGAGGGATCCAACAACCACTATCCACACCGATGACCGAAACTCGTTTACCATTAAACACCCGGAGGGACTCGTACTGCACCCCCTACTCAAGAAAGAACAGTTCCCTTACCAGGACATGATGCTGAACTTTTAGACACTGCAAGTTCCACTCATCCATCTCATGCAGCTCCCATGACACCACCACATCTTGCTACCATTCCAGATGATGTCATACGTAATGAACTACGTAGTCTCGTCCGAGAAGAGTTCCCCATAGAGAAAAAAAATCGCTTCCACACTCACCCTAACATCCTTGAATCCTCTCCCTTAGTGAATGAGGTCCTCCAACACCCTATCCCAACAGGCTTCAAGCTGCCGAACATTGACGCATATGAAAGGATAACTGAACCCTACGAAAATATCGATCATTATCGAACCATCATGCACATTCAACGTGTCTCTGACGTGCTTCTATGTCAGGTGTTCCCAGCCACTCTTAAGGGACAAGTTCGACCCTGGTTCTACTCTCAGTCGACGTTATAACTTAGAAAGCTAGTAATCATTTCTCGCATGTGGAACAAGGGACATCTGTAATCATCAACTTATAGTAGATTTTTACAACTGGGTCAGGCCCCGTGGTTTTTCCCCTTTACGGGTTTTCCACGTAAAAGCTTCTATGTGCTTCTATGTGATCACAGCTTGAGCTTGATTCATTTCCATCTGAGTGTGTGTTGAATCATCGCGCAACGCTAAGACGATAATTTATTACTCTACCGCCATAAATTTTCTACCTCGCAATCAATGATTAAAATTCTTTTTAAACGCTCGGAGTTTAAATGACCTAACCATAAATATAGTTGAACTTGTTCACTATGTTCACAAATAAGCTTGTTTGTTGTTCAACAAATAATTTGTTAAATACTCGATAGTAAACTCGATGATAGACCGTATGACATATGATATATTTTTTAAGTAAAATTTAATTAAATAGAATATTAACTCATTTGTTGATAGTTCGATGATAGCTTATATCATATATGATAGCTTGATATTAAGTTTCTGTAGGTTTCAAAGTTGTCATTTTTAGTTGTTTGAAAGGATTTATGTTAAATCATGTTTAAATATCATACAAATTATTCTACTAAACATCTCCTAAGCGAGAGATTTAGGGCAAAAAGGAGGAGAAACTAGATTTAAGATATTGCAGGGTTTAGAGTTTATAATTAATAAATTAATAGCTGTGATCAAATTTATAAAATTATTTTAATGCATTTTTTATATGAAAAGCTAGATATTTCTTGAATTTTTAGCCCGTTCATTAACTCGTTTAAAAACCCGTTCACTTTTCATAAACAAATCTAAGTCCAGACATTGAAAATTTTAAACAAGTGAAATTTGAATAATATATGAAAGTTCGACACAAGCTCAAGCCGAATATGAACAAGTTATAATTATATCAAGCCAAATCTAAATTATGATATACTCGGCTCGACACAGCTCAATAACAGCCCTAACTATGGCGCAGAGAAAATCAAGCATAAGTGGTAAACTAAGATAAATCAAAAGTTAAAAGAGGTCCAACTACAAAACAATGACCAAATAACAACAAAAACCCAGCAACAGGGAAAGAGCTAGAAGGAACTACTAGAGTCATACCCCTTAGAAATAGCATAATTTTTTTTGGTCCATGAATGAAAATATATAGATGGGAATTAGCTCCCTCGAGTTCTGTAAGAAAAGGAAAATAAATTGATATTTATTTTAGGGGAAGAAATACACGGATTACCTTGCTCGCTGCTTTCGAGTAGGAGCGGAGGAGGAGAAAGATGGGAGTTTCGGATGTTTGTAGAAACCGCGATGAATTCGTTGCCTTCCCAATTAGATGGAGCGGAGGGAAGGAGAAAAAAGATGGGAGTTTCGTATGTCGCGATATGAAGTCGTTGCATTCCCAATTAGGTCGAGCGGAGCGGAGGACGAGAAAGAAAGATGGCAGTTTCGGACGTCTGTAGCTCAGGCGGAGCTGAGGAGGATAAAGATGGGAGTTTCGGAGGTCTGTGAGGCCACGATCGCGATGAAGTCGCTGCCTTCAAATCGCCGCCGAATTTGCTACCCGCGCAGGGATTATTAATATTAAATTTTTAGATTCTATATATATATATATATATATAT